CCGCCGCCGCGCCCGCCCCCAGGAAGAGCCGGCCGAAGGCGGCCTCCCATGGGCCGCGAGGGGCTTCCTCCAAGGTCGTCGGCTCGTCTCCGGCCATGAAGAAGCTGCGGAAGAAGCCCGCGGCCCCGCCCGCCGCCGTCGCCGAACCTCCTCCCGCCGCGCACGAGGTGTTCGAGGAAATGGCAACCCCATCCTCGTTCATGGACCTCCTCCAAGACACGGAGGTGGACCTCGGGGCTCCGCCTCTAGAACCCTTTAGGGTTGGTGACGACTTAGAGGAAGATGAGGAGGATGAAGGGGATGACGAGGAGGAGGTGGCCGAGATAGGGGAGGAGGCATTCACCGCCGCTTCCCGCCCACACGCGTGGTTGACAAACTACACCGAGGCGGAAGATATCCTATTGGTTCGTGCTTGGGCGGCTGTGGGGATGGATGCAAGCACCGGCACCGATCAAGCCGATAAACGGTATTGGCAAAGGATCGAGGACAACTATTGTAGGATCAAGCCGAAGAATAGTGGGTTCATCTCTCGCACTTACCGGCCGCTTCAAGGCCGGTGGGAGTTGATGAAGCCCGCTTGTGCTAGTTGGAGTGCGGCCATGGACCAAGTGAGGGATGCACCACCTAGTGGAACCGTGGAGAGTGACTATGTGAGTACATATCTCTTTACTATTTTGATTATGTGTGTGTACTATGCTATTGGTGGGTTCTTATGTGATTATGTGTGGTTGATAGGAGACAATTGCCGGCATGAGGTACAAGGAGATGGCCGCTTCCAAGGGAAAGCCATTCCCATTTAAGCATGCTTGGGCAATGCTTCAAACCTTTGACAAGTGGAAGTTGAGGGATCAAGAGACCGCACCCAAGAAGTCGACAATGCTTAGGATGGATGATAGTGAAGATGAGGAGGAGAGGAACTTGGGCAAGCCCGAGGGAACCAAGAAGGGCAAGCTAAGGGTGAAGATGGAAGGAGAGGCGTCAAGCCTAAGGGAGAAGATGGAGCACATGATGAAGGCAAGAGAGGAATTGACAACGAAGACATTGGAGACGAAGCTTCTTATCACCGAGAAGAAGAAAGAGGTCAAGCTTGCACAAGTTGAAGCAAAGCGTGAAGAAGCAAAGAGCAAGGCCGACTTGGAGGAGAGGATGATCAAGCTCAAAGAGGCAAAGGTATGGAAAGAACTCATGGTGGAAGAGAAGGAGCACATGATGATGTCCAAGAAGGACATGGATGAAGACCAATTGCAATGGTGGAAGGACTACAAGGAGGACATCACGGAGAGGAAGAGGATGTTCCGTGGTGCGTCCTCTACTTTTCGAGGTGACACTCCGATGAGTAGTTGTGGCGATGGCGGTGTGGACGAGTCCACCGGCGCCTATGGAGATGCTTGATGGAGCCCGCATGTGGTCTAGGAAATGGCGCCGAGGTGCAACTTCTTGGTGATGGTGCCGATGAGAGGGGGAGGATGATGATTTTGTGATGTAAACTATTAAACCATGCATCAATGATTGTCATTTGGTAGTTTGTTTAGAGGTTGATTGTATTCTTGTAGTCATAAATTGTGAGATGTCAAATGATAGATTTAAAGGTTGGGGTTGAGGCAAAGACTAGAACCCTCAAACCTAACCCTTAAAGCAGTTTAAGGGTTGAGTTTGAGGGTTCTAGTCTTTGGTGACGACTTGGATGAAGATGAGGAGGATGAAGGGGATGACGAGGAGGAGGTGGCCGAGATAGGGGAGGAGGCATTCACCGCCGCTTCCCGCCCACACGCGCGGTCGACAAACTACACTGAGGCGGAAGATATCCTCTTGGTTCGTGCTTGGGCAGCTGTGGGGATGGATGCAAGCACCGGCACCGATCAAGCCGGTAAACGGTATTGGCAAAGGATCGAGGACAACTATTGTAGGATCAAGCTGAAGAATAGAGGTTGATTGTATTCTTGTAGTCATAAATTGTGAGATGTCAAATGATAGATTTAAAGGTTAGGGTTGAAGCAAAGACTAGAACCCTCAAACCCAACCCTTAAAGCAGTTTAAGGATTGAGTTTGAGGGTTCTAGTCTTTGCCCTTGTTTTTCAACCCTTAAAAGTGCCAAAAAAACTGGCACTTCTCAACCCTTAAAACTGCTTTAAGGGTTTGAGGGTTTTACTAGACATGCTTGCTTTAAGGGTTTGAGGGTTTTACTAGACATGCTCTAAGGTGGAGCGGCGACCCTCCCCCAAACGTCTGCCGGAGCTGGAGTCGGCGCTGGACCACGGGAGGGGAGGGGAGGGCGGCCGGTGGTGCAAGCAAGAGCACGGTGGGCGTCACGAACTCACGATAAACCGGAATCGGCGACTGTGGTGGAGCAGCGGGATCATGGGGAGGGAGGGACCCGTTGCATTGCTAAATTGCTAAACATACACAGGTCAGGTGAGATTTTTTATGTGGCTGGTTAGATCTAACTAGATGGGCCTGATGGTCATGTGTTTTGTTTTTTTAATAATAGTACAGATAATCGAGTATTCAAGATCCGATGGGGCCGACTTGAAGAGAGAGAAAAAAAAACTCACACCTTAAGCCTGCTGACAGTTGAAGATCTATCTCTTGAACATTTGACAGATAACTGCATACAGTACCATTGTATTTCACGGTTGAATGACAGTCTGTCTCAACACATTCCTTATCAAAGCAGAGTCGATCAACTAATCTACTAACACCCATAATAACTGATAGTTTTATGGGGCTTCCCGACTACATGATGAAGAGCAAGTGTAACAACCTACAATTACAATACTTTGTCAATAGGTTTCAACTCCGTTGGTAAATTGTCATAGTTGCCTGGACCAAAGTCAAACTCGAGGGTGCGCTTCTTCCCATCAACGTCTATCTCATGTTGTTTCAAGACCGTACACTCTCGATTAAGTGTTTGGTATCTGCATTAAGATAGGAAATAGTCTTATTAGCACAACATCAATAAGAATATTAGTAATCAAAACAAATTGGTTTACTTCATGATACTACTGACATACTACTATCATATATACGTGACAAAAAAAATGCAACCTGGCTTCTCTGAAATCCTCAACACGAATTCCCAACCCATACGATCTTGTACCTTTCGAATGATCATTTTCAACTGCAAATAGGAAACATTGTTGAGAAAGCGGATGAAATCTTCAAACAACACCGACATGTCTACAATAAAAGATGGCATCCTTTCATATTCAATTAGCTACTGATGATTCATGGTGATATCATAGTTATTATTGTTCATATGTTACGAGAATTACAAAAACTATATAACATGAACTAAAGGCCGGCATCAAAACATCTTGTATCAGATTCTCGAGCGGTCAGTTCACGATATATAGGAACACTGAGGTGCTTTATATAATCAAGTAAGGTGTTTAGGTTCAAATATATTTGAAAACTCTGCTGTGAATATGGGAAACAGCGGATTCTTTCTGAATAAAGCATAGAGCTGAACTAGATAATATATTATGGCAACATGAACATAGAGACATAGAGAAGCTCAGGAGCAAGGTCTTATGCAGCATCCTTAAAAAAAAGGCTATAACACAGTTGCGCCTGCAAATAAAATTATTTCAAGGAATTGAAGGGTTGCAAACCTGTGATACTACATGTAAAGAAGGGTGGAAACTTACACGCCAATGCTGCAGAAGATTTCGAAGGGCCTAATTTCCCCTGGTAAGAAAATAAGAATGATGATTGTCAAATAAATCAAGACAGGAATAGCTAACTCCAAATTTAGTATAACTGGAGGTAACAAATGTTTGAAGGAAGGCCAAACATGTACTCCCTCTTTCTCTAAATGATCTTATATTTCTTTACAGAGGGAGTAAGTTATAAATCTCCAACATGCGAGTTCTCGTAAATATTGCCACCGCGTTGACTAGTCGACAAAATATTTCAGTGGATTCTTAATTTTACAGGAATTTCGGAATAATTTCAGGGGAAATAGTTCTGTTCCCGCAGGATTGATAAGAAATATCTAATACTTAAAAATAGACCATCAAGACATGGCATGCATGTGAAGCATCGGTTGCCAGGATACACTAACATAAAAGAAAATAACTGAGGTGCGGCTGACCTTTACAAGTAAATCTGTATGAAGCTGCCAACTTGCAGCTACCTGAAACGATGAATTGCCAGCATCATCTGTTGGTTTGTCTTTATCCACCCTAAAGTTCACACAAGATGGAGCTGTAGTAAACTGAATCAGTCGCAAAACTGATAAATATGTATTTGTTTAAGGTATACCTTGTGGCTAGCTCAAGTCCAAGATCAATGTAGTTCAAAGTTTCATCTCCACCCCGATAATTTAGTACCTGATATAGTATGCAGACTCTTGGTTAAGATGAAATATTTAAATATAATAATAACTTCTTATTTCAACCCACGAAAGACACAAACTAAATTCTTTCACCTAAGTGTCGATCCTGTTATTCACTGGGTGGATATGATTTCTCCTAAGTTCGTAATTCTGGACACTAATCCCAAATTGGATTTTATTCTGCTAGAATTCCAAACAATATGATATTTCTTTTAAATGCACATAATCAGATTTTAATGCATGCATGCTTTAAACATTAGTATTCAAAGAAATGAACTGTAATATATCCCCAAATTAAATACAGACTGAAGTCTATCAAATGTTTTCCTAAAACCTTTCAAGAAAATGTTTCCCTAAAAGATGAAATATAGGACAACCATTACATGGCAATGGTCTTGCCTACATATGCAACTAGCTAAAAGGATTAGAACAATGATCTTCAAAATAATATGCACGTTATATAACTTGTTATTCACCTAGGAAAAGATGGCAACAGGACAAATAACCCAATCCTCAAGGGCTGGCAGAGTATTTTTCTTATGGAACTGCTAGAGTAAATTGCTAAGTAGGATAAAGGAGATATATTTTAAATCCCAATTGTAGTTGCAGGAAGCAACTCTAGTTATCAAGAAATGAAATGCAATTGCACTTGCCTTTGCAGAAATATGGTGTTGATAGAACGATGCAACCAGCTGCACACCAAGGAAAAGGAAATGCCATTAAGTGAGAATAAATAAATGTAACTTTTGCTGTGTATGAGATTTGATGAAGGAAAAACTATATTTATATATCAAGGTTCTCCTTTAGTAGCTGAGGGCCACTTCTTAATAGTCTATCAAAGGAAACATACATAAGATCACTGGATTCTTTATTTGTAAGTCAAAATCGAGGAATTTTACAATGGAACTGCTCTGCACACGACAAACACTATGCACGACCATTGCACGACCGCCCATCTGTGGGTGTGCTGCCGTCTGTTGCCATGCATCAACCGACTGATTGGATTGTCGTCTGTAAATCGTGTGCATAGTGTCGTGCATATAGCAGTGCTCATTTTACAAACACATGCATACCGTAGAAGTAATAATTTATTGAAATTACAAACAGAGAATGGTATAGTTAAATAATTCTTCCAAAGAATAGTCATGTTCACAACAGCAGTATTAAATTTTTAAAAATAGGAGCATCTTAATTATATGCATCAAATACACATCATGGCCGGCAGTCTGTTTATAATCCTGTCAAAATGCATAAGCCAGTGCAACCTAACAAACCAATAGACATCATGCCTGGCACTCTGTTTTTAATCTTGTGAAAAATACCTAAAGCTATTGCCAGCTAACACACAATATGAAGCTTTCTTGTCAACTAATAAGGAATAAATATAACAAACCTGCGAACTTCTAACAAGCTCTAGTGCAAAATTAAATGAAGGGCTGAGTGGGCTACTTGAGCCTACACCATAACCGATTGCACAATTCCAGTTCATCAAGTCAGTAAAAGGCATAGGATGCTTGCTTCCACCTGTTGGAGTATATTTTTTGTACACAGAAGAAATCAAAATGCTTGCGTTTGGTGACACAGAACAAAATGCTGGAAAGTGTAAATACAGTGAACATCTATATCCCGACTATCTTTATGTAAGAAACGGCACATGACTCCAAATAGAAAAATGCTTGTAATAATAAACATATGACATGTCAGCAGAACATTTAAAGTTGATACAGTGCAAATTACAATAACCTAGAATTGCAACTAGTAAATGCATAGCATGGAAATCTTGTAATTTGTAAAAAGAAAAGGTCTTTAAGTGCACAGACTTGTGGACACATGAACTTGACAAGTTGCTTGTTTATTTATAAAAATCCCTTAGGTATAAAATACACGGTAGGGTCTAGTAATATCCTACATAGAAATCCACAATAGAGAAAAACCAAATGATGATATCATGGTGTTTAATTGCACTTAGCTTCAGAATAAATTAAGAACAGCATGTTAGTGTTCCACTTTTAGTTTTAACACGACAATATGAATTTTCGGTTTATAGACCTTTTGTAACTAAAAATAGTTGTCCGAAAACACCCTTGTACAGTTATGTATTGTATGCACCTTATTTATGGTCCTTCCTAAATCGAGAATTTTTTATGGTAAATTCTGAATGAAGTATTAACATTGTAAACAGAAAGCCTCAAAAAGCAAAGGAGCATTTTCCATGTGGACACAGAAGAGTATCAAATATTTAAATAAAAAAGAATATGCAAGAGCCTCAAAATCTGCGGCGTAGAATATATTGCTCTGATAATCAGTGAACGTTTAGTAACACAAACCTATTGGTTTGTATTGTACGCCTGCACTTAAATTCCCTTTTCTCCCAACCAACCATGCACCATAGGGTACCTCACCAGGCGCTACAAACAAAAGTCATATCAGCATACCATGACATAACTGAATGTAAGTATTATTTTATTAGAGAATAACATAAATAAATATGTTTAAAATTGATAAGAGTATTAATACATGGTACATAACATCTTTACTCTTCAATCATAATTCAATACTCCAAGTAGAACTATAAGTAATTGGCGTACAAGGAAATGGGACGAAGGAGGCCCCAATTGATAGATTCTCTGAACCATATCTTAAACCCATGACACCATAATCTTCTGGGCATGCCCTGCAAAACAGAAGAATAAACTTCGCCATGTTACTAATCGTATTTACAAATCAAGAACAAGAACATCTTGTACCTGGTCATGGAAATGTCTCATCAAGATGTTAGTAGGAAGCTATGTACAACTAAATAGATGATCGACAGCCACAGTCAAGATATAAGATACACAACCTACCTGTTTGCCATATTCAAAGGGAATGTCCCAAAGGCGCCAATACGATACTTCGGATAGTAAATGCTTGAAGACAGCCGCATTGTGCTGGAAAATACAAGTTATAAGCCAAATCGGTATATTTCTGCACCTTGCATAACAGAATTAGAACTGTTCATGACAAACAAGAGATAACTTACGGCTTTGAAGTCGACACAAGAAAGTCCACAAACGTATTGGGATCTTTCAAATCCCTACAAAAAAAATGTCAAGCCATTTGGTGTTCATCATAACAAGTATGCATTAAAAACTGGAAAATATAGCTACGGTAAACTGTATGCAATAAGCACCTCTGCCATCGAAAGTGAGCTTCCCCCCCATTTGTAGACATCTAGTGATTTAAAGTTAGGGAAAACAATTTTTCTTGCAATAACTCAGGAAAAGAGACAAGAGTCCTGAAACTGAGCAGCTACATAGAGAAAAGAAATAGGGTATATATAGATAATTTAAGAACTCATTTTATACCAAGCTTCAACAGCAATCATATATACTACTGAAACACAACTTGTAGTCATGAATGGGACAGAACCATACTAATTACAAGAAAAAGCAGCAATCAAATATATTTGCTTGATGGATACAGTGGCAGTGAGATCAGCATGAGAATCTCCCAGCTGCTTCAACACAATCTGCGCATCCACGCCCCCAGAATGGAGGTAGTCATCAAAGAGGCTGCGTCGCGCGAGCTTTCCGAACATGAGCTCATATGCCGGCACCAACATCCTGCATGATTGATTATATGTACTTGAGCGCGCATACAACAATCAAAGAGCAATCTAGAGCTATACATATACTCCCTCCATTCTCTAATACTATAAGACATTTTAGCTTTTTCTTGATTCGAATGTATTTAGACACATTTTAATATGTATATGTTCACTCATTTTAGTATGTATGTAGTCAATATTGAAATAGCTAAAAGGGTCTTATATCAGGGAACGGAGGGAGTGGTAGTGATAGCAGTGCAGATTGTCAGGATGTTAATTCTTTCAGTTCGTCAGTCAGTCAGCAGCTGTTGTTTTCTTCAGTTAAAACGAAGTGAATTGTTAAGTGGCATCGGATGGTCCAGGAGATGTGAAGGGCTCAGATGGGCCAAGCGCGAGAAGGAAGCTGCCGTTGGCTGTCAATTTTCAGCTAAACTGTTAATCGGCGGCTAAACTCAACCAATAATGATGATACCAAAACTTAGCTTCTACAGCACTATCTACTTTCTCTCCAGCCCATAGTTTGTGTAGCTAGGAGATCCCCCCAAACCCTAGTGCATTAAATACCCAATTTCCCTGCGATTTGCGCTACGAAATCGTCAGATAGA